TGCCATAGGCCAAAACAGCTTTATTTTCCACCCCACCCCACCCCAGCCCCGAGACAAGATTTCTCTATATAAAAGTTCTGGCAGTCCTGGAACTTGCTGAGATTTGCCTGCCTCTGCCTCCCGGGTGCTTAGTTAAAAGTGTGCACTACCACCACCCAGCACAGCCAGTGCTCTTAATCACTAACCACTAAACCATCTGGCTAATCCAGCTGTTTTTTAAATACATGGTTTCATCACTGACCTTTTTGAAGTGTATAACATTTCCTTGTGACATCATTCTCTCCTGTAAAAGTTTCACGTGACTTTCTTTGAAGAGAGCTATTTAATGCCAATGATTGTAGGAAACATTGGTTCATAATTATCCAGACATCCGACTAGAACAATGCTGAACAAGAGCAGCATGCAAAAATGTATTTAAGGACTATCATCCCAAAATGCTGCTAAAAGCTATTAACCAGTATGTGTTAATTGCCACGGCATTCATATTAATTTTCACTTCAGGCTCGACATTGTGGAATATTTCCCCTGATACATTTTAAACAAAGTTTAATTTAAGGAACTGCTTCTATCAACACTTATGAAAATTAACAGCCAAGCAATTAGCACTCGTGAATTATCCCCTCCCCCACACTCTGCAGTTTCCTGTTCAGTTTCTACTGGAGGAGTGGCTACTTTCTAACAAGTCAACACAATCAAAGTCACAGCTGTTGGTGGGAACCAGACCTCTTTTGCTTTTCAAGTCTTTGTCAAGGCAAACACCCACCTCACATTTGGGAAATAGTATTTAGGTATGTCACACTAGGTAGGATACCTAATGTTTTATTACAACTGCCCAGCAATTGCTAATGCCCAACTATCTTTCTGATTTTTAGTAGCTATTACCTTCCAAATAAATAAGTAAACAAATATGTAAATAAATAAGGAACTGTGATGGTGAGTATCCACTGCCCACCTCCTGAGTACTGGGATTAAAAGGGTAAGCCACCACACCTGCCTTAGTCCACATCTCTAAACAAAGTTGGAGCTTGGGATTCAGCCCAGTGGTCGACCATTTGCTTAGCATGCATGAGTAAGAGACCCTGGCCTGAGCCAATCTCCAACACTGTGGTGGGGCATGACACAGCATCTCCAGGGAACTTAATCCAGTGCCTGCCCCCAGCCCAGAGCCCACCCTCATCATCTTCAAGCATCTGGAAGCACAGTCCACTTCTCCAGAGTAAAATCAGAACTGGAGTACAAAGTTTCTGATCTCAACCTACACCAGAGGTTGTGTTTTATGAAAAAGCTTTCTCAGAGGTTGTTTCTAACAGTGGCTATAGTTTAGTGGTAGAATGCCTGTCTGGTAGACAGGAAGCCCAAAGTCCACACTCAAGATGTTCCTCTCCTTTCACCCCCACATGCCCACCAACAAATAAAAAAGACTTCATGCAGATGCTGAGCTGGATTGGATCTCTTCAGATAAACATTACCTACAGCTCCTTGCAGTCTGCCCTGAATCCTCAAATGCTCAGGATTCAATCCAAGTCAGACAGCATCATCTATTTGCCAAAGAAATAATACAAACAGTATAAGCCTGACACGTCCCTCCCTCCAAACTAACAAAAAAATCCTAACCAAGTACAAATCTCTCAATTCTATGCTCTAAAAATATATTAACCCCAAAAATATTTTTAATACATTATTAGCCAACTATAGGAACCAAAAATAATTTGGAAATATTTTAATTTAGGAAAAATTCAAAGAGATACTCACCCTTAGGCTCACTAAAACCAATGACCCAAGTCTGCAAAACTGTTAAAGACACTAGCTATGCTTGCATAACTACCATGAGACTGTTGTTCCATACCCAAAACAAATCCTTTATTCCAATCCAACACAGTAACATCTTAAGGAGGACTGCATAGCCACTAGTCTCTTGAGTAAATACATAATTAAGTAGGTTTTTAGCATATTTAATTAGACCCCAAACTCTTCCTGTCCCCTTCTCTCCCCAATTATGTACCATTTGCCCAAGAGACCTAAGCAACTCAGTTAATTATGTAAATAAGGCAAGCACTATTCCCAAGGAGAGCATCCATGAATATTTGTAAAAAGAAAAATAAAACAAAACAAAATACTGAATAGGTTTTAGTGGTCTTAAAAATTCTTTGCAAATACATACATCCATGTATATATATACATATGTGTGTGTGCATGTGTGTGTATATATACAGGTAGGTGTATTACATATAGTTTTTAAATACATGGAAAACCCTTATATTTGAGGCAAAAACATGTAGTCCCAATAACAAGATGACAAATCATTAAGACAAACTATTCATTTCATTTCTTAAATATGAGCTGAATAAAAGTAAAATAATTTTAAGTTACAACAGTAACAAAAATTAAGTACTGAATGTCAAATGATTTACAGGAAGAATCAATCTGGAAATGATTAAAGTCGACTGGCACAGAAAGGCTTTATTATCTGGGGGTTGACACAATCTCAACTCTGGAGGCAGCCATGGCACTGTTAGCACTACTACAATCCCATTATTATGCAATCACAAAATGCTAATTTGATCATTTTGAGGTGTTATTTGAATAGTCATTTTAATTTCTAGGTTACAAAAAGGCTTGACTCAAGTATAATTCTCTATTAATCACTGAGATGCCATTGACTATCATATTGATGCCTTTCACAAAGATAAAAACTGATTTAATATGTACGGTACAATATCTTTCAAATATTAGCCACTTTCATTTTGTATCTGCCAAATGCATCATTTTTAAATAATAGATGAAAACAAGGGTTTAATTGTATTTTAGCATTGTAATATATGGGGTAATAATAAAATAGCAGGCATTGTGAGATAGACTTATTGATGTATAAATCCTTCTTAATCAATGCTCAGTCTCTACAGATTACCAAAAGGTTCACAAAGATAAAGCATAGGGCAACTTAAATGTAAACACACATTTAACAAAAAATGCTTGTAGGACTGAGAAAATGTCTTTTTTTTAAATTGCTTTTATTGCCTTCCCAGGCTTCAGAAGTTAGCTACATTTACCGCACAATGTTCACAACTCTCAGACAAATCCAAACCCAAGCTAATGGTAAAAGGGAAATTCTAGAAAGAATTGTTTTTTACAGTCTGAGCTGTTTGTTGGCATGGAATCACATATTAATTATTCGATCAACTTCATCATTCAACAATGAGACTATACCAGCTACAAAGGCAAGTAACTTTCAGCCATGTCCCAGCTGAGGCTAGCTTCTCACACACCTAAATGAATCCTCTGCAGTGCAGCTGGAGACAGTCCAGGGTCCTGGGGAGCCTGCCTTCTTTTCCCTACATTCCACAGCACTGCACAGCTCGGGCTGACTAAAGACAAGTTCAGAGCAATGCAACCTGGAAGTGACTGACAGTGCTCTAGGAGTTTTCTAGAGGAGCTCTTGGGCATCTGAGGGCCAGGATGTTACTAATGTGTTTTGTTTCAGGTTCCTGTTGTCCACCCTCAGTGATAGCAACAGCCTTACTGCCAATGACTACTTTGCTGACTTACCACCTATGGAATCCAGAAGAAGAGTCTAAGATAGATGTTTCCAGAGAGGAAGCTCTCTCTGCTCAATGATAACTGACAAAACTAGCGTGTGAGGAGGAAAATGCAAACATGTGCAAAGCACTGCCACTTATTAATTGCAACAGTGTTGAAATAAGATGAATTGCATGTGACCCCTTGAGGCAGCAAACTATCACTCAGCACCCCCACACGACTGCCAGGCAGCGAACACAGTGGTAACAAATTAAAAAATCAACTGTCTCCTAAAAAGGTCTCTGCTCAGCTCAGAATTGAGGCTGATAACAGAAGCAGGCTCCTCCTGAAACAGTGGCCATTTTTCTAGAAGGAAAATAAACATACTTTAATTTTATGTTACTACAAATGGGAAAAATAAAAATCACCCACAATGGCAGCATCCAACAAGACACCCAACAGTGAAAGACCAAAATGCAATGGCCTGGAATTCTGAAGGGAGACCTCACAATTTCTATAGTTGTAGACAGCAGACAGGACAATGCAAACCACCTCCCAGAGCCACTTGTAAGTCTTTTCCAACACAACTGCTTCATCAGTCCACCCAGCCCAAACTCTCAAGTACAAGGTGATGAAACAGGTAAATAAATAGGTACACACAGACCTCCCTTTGCTCCTACCCACATATATGCACATAGATTATATACATTAGAAAGAGAGACATATTTTTTATTGGGTTTGAGAGACAAGTTCTTGCTATGTAGCACAGGCTGGCTTCAAACTCACCATCCTTTGCTCTGGCACACTAAGTGTTAGGGCTGTAGGTCTGTACCACCACACTCAGCTTAATATATATATATATATATTATATATGTTATATATATAATATATAATATATTACATATATTATATATTATAATATATGATATATATTATATACAATATATATATTGTATATATATTATATATCATATACAATATATAATATATTATATATAATATATATTATATACATAATATATAATATATATTACATATGTGTATTATGTATATATATGTATTATATATGTATTATGTATATATAATATATACAATATATAATATATTGTAATATAATATATATTGTATATAATATATATTATATATTATTATATATTATAATATATATTATATGTGTGTGTGTGTGTGTGTGTGTGTGTGCAAAAATATGTTATCTAGGAGAACTGAAACAGTCCTAGACTGTAAATACAGAGAAGAAAAGAATGAGAAAGCGCTCAAGACTTTTGTGTTAGCCCTCCTAAATATTACTATGGAAACAATGGGCCCACGTTCTTACCTTTTATATCTAAGGTCTTAGGAAATGTGGTGTTCTACAATACTGAGGCACTTTTAAAACCTAAATCTAATAATAATGATGATCATGATGATACCAGTAAGTCCCTCCGTCTCGTAAAAGGGACACAGCCTCTTTATTTTAAACTTACCTTGCCATCAAACTTGGAATACTCATTAAAGGGGTTATTCAGCTGCAGAGGACACTGCTCCAGGCGTACCGACAATATGGACTGCTTGCCCGAACTTGGAGGCTTCTCTTTGAGGGATTTTTTTTCAAACAGTGACTTTAACTCCTGGGCTGAGATAGAAAAGGATAAAAAAAACCATCTTTGTCACTATGTACAGAAGACAATTTGTCCACTTTTCCTAAAGTCTTCCTCTGGATCCTAAAGATGGCATGTGGAGGAAGATGCTGGGGCTGATGTAAACGGAACTCCCACACATACTTGAGGGTTTGTGCACAGCAAGAGATGAGTGCACATAGAGACACACAGGCCGGGACGATCGAAGGGAAGAGTCACTGCCACAGAACAGCCATCCTAAGGAGAGCGTTCACAGCTGGGTACCCAGGCCTCAGCAGCAGCCACTGCTATATGATACCAGACACTGAATTCCACCTCTCTGGGTGTGTCAACCTGGAAAACCTCAGGGAGCTCTCTCATGCCTTACTACTATAAGATTTTAGACTTCCAGATCGTTAAGAGCAAGGTCCTTTCCCACTTTCCAATGGCACCCAGCATAAAATCTTGAGAAAAACAGGCATGAGGAAAAAGAGAAACAAAGAGTTAGCATTCGTTGTGCATGCCAACACAGCTTATTAAATCTTTGTTACAAGCCTGTGAAGAGGGTGGTAGTACTACCAATTCAGTCAACATGAAAAACTAGCTTGGAATATTCTGGTTAGGCCTAACTCGAGCAACCAGGTAAACCCCAGGATTGGGATCGACACTAATGGAGACATAAATGAACACATCATATACTCAATAAAACTTGCTGCATAAATTAGTGAATAATGATTGAAGTGATTAAAAATAAATCATATCAAATCAGAATCTTCAGTTCTTATTTATCACTGAATCAAGACAGTTCCACATCTTCACGAAGATCATTTAGTTCTCTAAATTCACCTGAACATCCAACAAAGTGGTAAGTAGATGGCAAGTACATGGGGACCATCATATGTTGTAGGATATTTGTACACTGTGGGAAGCAGTATTGCTGTGATTGATGTAATAAAAGGCTAAATAGACAATTGCTAGGCAGGAGGTATGGGATTTCTGGGGAAAGACGGGAAAAGCGGAATCTAGGAGGGTGGGGTCACCAGCCAGACACAGAAGAAACAGGAGGTGCAAGATGAAAGAGGTAACACCATGCAATGGATTAATATAAGCGGGTCAATTTAAGTTTTAAGAGCTAGTTAGGAATAAGCCTAAGCTAAAGGCCAAACTTTCATAATTAATAAGAAGTCTGTGTTATTTGTGAGCTGGCGGCCAAAAGAAAAATCTGCCTACATTTGGTATCCAACTTGAGGCATATAAATCCACATAGGGACTGAGAAAGCTGAAAAAGAGAAAAGTTTCGCATAGGCTAGGTGCTTGCAGCATACACAGGCACGGCTCTTTTGAGAGCCCCTGCAACCGAACACTTGAATGGGGTTTATGAGCATGGGGCAGAGCACTACTAAATGGCGAGAGATCAGGTAGGACTGCCTACCATAGCGTGAAACCAGAAACTTCCCAGAGCTGGGCAGATAGACTGGCACCAGGCCATGCCTGCAGGTGTGAGTCTCCATTCTTACCAATAAGAAGGGGGTGGAATCAGTTGCCAGGCAATCTGCTAAACAGAGCCACACAGGTGGAAGACCTAGTTACCACTTAGCTGTTGTGGAATATTCCTTTACACTGTATGAAGATGTGCCACTATGACTGGTTTAATAAAGAGTTGAATGGAAAAGAGTTAGGCAGGACTATATAGGAGGTTAGGCAGGACTGGGACAGAGCAATCTCGAGGAAGAAGAAAGGTGGAGTCATCAGTCGAGTGCAAAGAAAGTAGGATATGCAGGAGGAGAGGTAAAAGTCACAAGTACATAACAGTGTGTAGATTAAAAGAAATGGGTTAAGGGTTAACTTAAGTTGTAACAGCTAGTTAGAAACAAGCCTAAGCTAAGGTCGAGCATTCATAATTAATAATTAGTCTCTGTGCCAAGATCTGAAGGCTGGTTGGTGGTCCAAAAAAGTCTGCTACACTTAGCCGTTTAAAATTTGACTCAAGCGGTCAGAGAACACTGCAAACATGCAGAAAGTCGGGTCCTGATGGATAAAACCTTTGAAGAGATATAGTAGGCTTAAAAATGTGCTTAGATGCTGAAGAAAGGAAAAGGTTTATAGACAATCATAGAAAAATAAGGTTTAAAAATAATAAAGTCTTTAAAGAGAAAGTAAAGCAATATAAAAGGAAAAGGCCACATAAAGATGGGAAATACACGGGGTATCTGGATCCTGTATAGTGTGCCTTGCTGACTTTGAATTTCTTAAATGCTAATGACCAAAAAAGAACAGCTGCTGAGAGACACTGGATTATGGAAACTGCTAAATGAAACCAACCTATATATTTTAAGAACGTCTTCACTTCAGAATGGAAGTCAAAAAATACTTTGCATTGGAGTAAAGGTTATGCCTTTGTTTACACAGAAACAAAAGTTATGGTTCTCTTCGAAATTAATGAAGATCGAATTTAATTGGAGAAGACCTGAAAAATCTTGACCACGGACATGAAAAAAGAAACTAAGAAAGACTACAGGACAGGTGACATACATGCTGATCCCTATACTATGGGAACAGCTCTGAGACCAGATGAAACATGATAAATATTGTTGGCCACAGAGTCCTCATGACTTATTATTACATGCCATTCTTTCATCTTTGGCAGACTTGTACACATTACATACTCCATACTTCTGTTAGTATGTGTGTGTATGTATCCTTTAAAAATTTATGTGTTTTCCGAAAAAAAAAAAAGGACTAGACATCAATCAAGGCTATTTGAGAGGTGATCCAGCCTCTCAAAATGCCTCTGTTGCAGTTTTCTCAAAATTATATATCCAGAACAACTTCAAAGCTGACAGCTGAAATAGTCTAGCCTCAGACTATCCAGTTAAAACTTCAGATGAGCCTTGCACTTTCCCATCACACTGAGACTGGGCAATAAATAACTCTCCCAGGACTTGACCATTATCTCAATCTTCCCAGGGTCCTCTAAAGATGCCATCGACCCCAGATAACAGGAAGTAGTCTAGAGAACATGATGCCCACATTCCCAAGAGATAGGGTGGGTGGTTTTTGTTCATTCGGTGTCTTCTGGATGTTTGTCATCATTTAGAGGGGCTGGTTACAAGTTGTTACTGGTAATGATCAGGAAAAAACTGAAAATTAGATTCAGGAATCTCTTTCTGAAGGGAAAAAGTGGGGATATAGAATGATGGAGTAAAAGGGTAGATTGTTGAATCTACTTTTGAATAACCACTAGTCTCAAATACTTTACACTGGTATGGATTTTTGTATATTGATACAAATTTAAGGCTATTTTTGTTATACTGTACATATGTTTCTACTCTTGTTTAAGATATTGTGCCTATGCTGCTCATTTAAAACCGTGACATAAAGTTCTAGTCCTTAAAAGTTACTATTATAAGCCACTTAGGATAATTAAGAACTGTAGGTTAATAGTCATCTATAACAATCAAACTTGTAGTCAGGTTAGGTATGTTTTCAAGGTCATACAGAAGCATATTTTAGATAGACAGATGATCTTCAAACACTTCAAAGACCTACAGAATATGGCACTTAAAGTGTTTTAATAACATACGGCTTTTCATGACAGTGAGACATGTCTGCTCCTGGTAGCACCAATTTACTTCAAAAAAGGATGATGGGCATCAAAGAACCTCCATATGAAGTTTGCTTTTACTGTGGCAAAGTAAGCCACTGAGCAAGAAACAGACCTTGCCTCAGCTGAACTGCTGACAATATGCTGTCCAAACTGGACAAACAGGACACAAAAGGAAATAACTACCTACTTTTGCCAAGACAAGGTAGAACAGTCAAAATATATGCATCACAGAAAAGTCTGTCAGATACTCTAGGCCTATGGACCAAGGATGGATGTCCCAGTGTTACAAAGGAAATTTGAATAACTGTCAGCCAGGAAACAGGCAGCCAGACGTCTGTCATTTCTATAGTTTTAGAGTTTGTTTGCTCAACACTTTGTGTTTTACTCAGATAATATTATATCCGTATCGGGTCTCTAATGGAGTTGAAGAAGAGATAGTTATTGTTACACTTTTCCTTGTTACCAAATTCAGAAAAGAAACTTACATAAAAGATATAGTTTTTAAGGTTGGGAAACGTAAAAGTTAAAGTTGTTTATCTAAGAAGATATTTTAAGGTCTAAAAAGATACAGGATGGTAATACAAGACAGAAAGTGGTTTAGGTATAAAACTTTGGACTCACTACAATAGGACAGATAATACAGTACTTTTTATGAATTTGCCAAATACATATGGACTAAACAATGTGAATGTGATTTCTACCTGATAATTATTCTTATTGTATTTTACTATAGTATAGAGAAAATCTTTCCTTTCTATTTAGACAAAAAGAGGGGAAATGTTGTGAGATATTTGTACTCTTTGAAACTATAAGAAAGTCCCACATAAATACTTTCTTGTATAAGAATGCCTTAGTCAAGCTGTGTCTTCAAAGTAACAAAACAGTGATTAGGCCTATCAACGCACACCTGAAGGAAGAACTTACACTGCAAGAGTAACTAACTGGACGTGTTTCCAATAGAGTTATGTATGAGGAGATGATGTACTAGCTCCTTCTGTTCAGACTAATTTTCACTATAGTCTGACAATGCCTCCTCTCTAGATCTCTGTGCCATGGTGAAATGGAAACAAGCCCTCACCTGCACATCTTCCTGTCTTTGTTCCTCGAACCATGGAAGAACCCCTCTCTTAGTCTGGTTCCTCCCTTGTACACAAAACTCATGCCCCTTTTGCTACTCCTCAATGTTTCCTTCATTCTTCCTTCCACTTTCAGTTAGTCCTGGCATTATATACGGTACTGCTCATTAAACAAAGAAAACCCAATCCCTTCTTCCTATTACTGGTCCATTTCTCTGCTTCTGAAATTTCCCTATATCATCTTGCTGTGTCGTCCTTCTCATCACTCAAACACACCCAAACAAACATAACAAAGAAACACTTTTCTCATGACTCTAGCTCAATTTTAATCATC